GGTGTGGGCGCACGTGCCCTCGACGTGTACCAACCATGCATGCATGTACAAATATGTGATTTTAGGTTCTTGAACCCTTGTTTTACTAGGCTCGTTTGGCTCTCAATTGACTTTTTGCATAAAATTAGCAATTTTGAAAACATTCATCAATTCAGTCTCGACCGGGCTTTTCTTCCTAAGTGAGACCAAAAAGTTACTTTGGCTAAAACAGGTTCATGGGTAAAATGGTAATTTTCATAAAAATATGATTTTTGGCTAAAATGGGGTTATATAGCAGCTCGTAACAATTTCAAATACTTCTAGGGATGAAATAATTACCGTTTCATCATCGCAAAGCTTTTAAGCGCCCAAAGTCTCAGGGCCAGTAAAAAATGGGGTGTCTACACAAGCCCGACCCATTAATTTATCGGGCCGAAAATGTTGGCTTAGCTTGGCCTTATAGGCTAAAATAATCTTCTCAAGCCCTAAGAAAATACTTCACCTAATCATTAAATATTGTCTTTATCGGTTCGTGACCAGTATGAACTAATTTGGGGATTTTAAGCTATAATACATCATATTTTAATAATTCAATATCATAAAAAAATAATCTTAATGTTTACGGTGCTTTTTATCAATCAATAAAAAAAATTATAAATATTAAGAGAATTACAATTGAACAAATTCTAAATATAAATTTTTTACTTTAAAACTTTAAGACCTACATATATTTTTTTTGACTCTATAACTAATTTTTGAGATAGCAACTAAAATAAATTTCAATCATTATTTTATGGAGAGACATATGTGACAAGAGTTTTTAGTACATATATTTAAAAAGTAATATTAATTCAAAATTTTCAGTATGGAAAATATATACAAAACTTTTTGTTATGTTTGATTCATGGATTTGGGTCAGAATTTGAATAAGAAAGAAAAAAAATAAGTGAAATGTGAATGAGATATAACTATATTTTACCTAATTTTACACATATTTTCATTTTTCCTTTCAAAATTTTTATCCAAAATCATGAACCAAACACATCATCAATGTTTGAAAAGAGTTTTGGATCCTTTATGGTATTGATATACACTATCTAGAAAAAACCTATATAATATTTGGTGGGATAAGCAAGTTCTTAAATGGATCATCAATCACATTATGAGGGAATCACATTATAAGGGAATAAAAGTTAGCCAATAAAAGATTTTTTAATTATTTAAAAAATTAAACATCAAGAGAAATAAATTATGGAAGATGTGAATTGATTCCTATATTTTAGTGGTACAAAATCTAAATTTTAAAAATGATCATTTTTAAATTTCTAAATTTAAATTTATAAATAGATTAATGAATCTTCCTTTTGAAATGTGTAAATCAAGGCATAATAATATTTTTTTAAATGATTCAATACAAACTAGGGAAAGTTACCAATAAATCCTAAATGTTGAACTTATGATTCATTTGGTCCCAAATGTTTTTAATGTTCCGTTTGGTCCTTTTGTTTGTGAAAGGACGCATTTGCCATTTAATTTGGTTGTTTGTGTTAGCGTTACAGTTGGACATGAAAGTTGTTTTTAATGCGCGTGAGCCACGCAGCTTGATTGTGCTATTTTCAATTTGAGGAAAGTCGCGTGAGGGAAGTCACGTGCCACGTAATTGGGTGTCGCATTTTATGTTTTACACATAAGGATTGGCACATGTCACATCAATGGGTGCCATACAACACTGAAGCATACCAAGGGCTTTTGGTAACTAAGAGTAAGTGAGATGAGTGCCACGTGGCACACAACCCAAAGAAGAAAACCCATACCCATTGTTAACACATTTGACATTAGAAACACAAACCACAACTGACATGCAACACCCAGACACACCTCCCCCACAACATTAAGGGTGATTGGTGGGTGCCACACATCAACAAAGTGCACTAAGGCTCTTTTATGTTTTTTGTCTTGAAATAATGTATGTCACATGACACACAGTGTTTGGCACGTGTCTTTATGAGGGTGATCGGTGGGTGCCATATATCAATAAAGTACACTAAGGCTCTTTATGCTTTTTGCCTTGGAATGATGTATGTCACGTGACACACACAAGAAAGGGTATATTTGACCATTCAATGTTACCAAACAAAGGAAATAGGATCAACTGGTAAGATATTCCCCCACTAATAGGACTAATCAGAACAATAGAAATAACCTTAGGACCAATCGGTAAAACTGTTTGTCAAATAGGATTTATTGGTAAAAATTCCTAAAAAAGTATAAGAATTTTTCTTAAAATTTTAAAATTGATTAATTAACTTTCATTTTCAAATTTCTAAATTTAAATTTATAAATGGATTAATTAACTTTTCTTTTGAAATGTGTAAATTAAGGCATAATAAGATTTTTTTAAATGATTCAATAAAAGTTGGAAGATTTTTTTTAAAATTTTTAAAACTGATTAGTTAACTTTCATTTTTAGAATTTTAAATTAAAATTTATAAATAGATTAATTAACTTTCCTTTTCAAATGTGTAAATCAAGACATAATAATTTTTTTTTAATAATTCAATAAAAGTCAATCAGTAGAAACTTTTTTTTTATTTAAAAATTAAGAATTCTAAAAAGATAGTATGAGAGTTTTAGGCTCCGTTTGGTGGAGTTTTCAAAATCTAGTTCCACACTTACTTTTGAGTGTGGTGTTTGTTTAGGGTTTTCAAATCATAATTTTACACTCATTTCTCAAAACTCAATTCAAAACATAATCATTACTTTTCAAAACTCATAACCAAACACATAATTCAAAACTCTTTTCAAAACTCCATTCAAATCAATATTTTAAAAATATTTTAATTTTGTTAAGATTTTAAATATTTTAATATTCCATTTTCTCTCTTTATCTTCCCTCTTCTCCCATTTTTAGCTTTTTTTTGTCTGTTTTTTCGAAAGAAACAATTTGGAACCGTTACATGAGTTTTGTGTTTGGTTATGAGTTTTAAAAATAATTTCTTCATTGAGTTTTGTTTTATGTGTTTGGTTATGATTTGAGTATAGAGTTGTTTTTAAATTTAAAATATTAAAATTTTAAATTATTTTAATTTTTTGAATATTTAAATTATTTAAATTTTTACGATTTAAAATTTTTGAATATTTATTTTAATTTTTTACTTATTAAATTTTTTAGATTATTTAAATTATTTAAATATTTATGATTTAAATTTTTTGAATATTTATTTTGAAAAAAAATTATTTCCTTTGTAGTATTTTCAATTAAAAAATTGATTAATGTTATTTTTTGTTTAATAATAAATTTTTTAATTGAATTTTAAAAAGAGTTTGGTTATGAGTGTTGATCAAAATTTTCAATAATGTGAAAGTAATGTGTTTTGTTATGAGTTATAACAATTTGAATTAAGTTTTGAAAACTCTTTTCAAAACTCATAACCAAACAAATTTTCTTACTTCACATGTCAAATCAAACTTTCAAAACTCAATTCTACACTCAATTCCACACTCAATTCAACACTTTATTCAAAAACCATAACCAAACAAATTTTCTACGCTCAAATCATAATTCTAAAACACACAAACTCAAAATACAACTCATATTCTCAAATCATAATTACAAAACTCTACCAAACAGAGCCTTAAATTTTACAATACTTTTTCTCATTAGAAACCTGAGTAGTGTTTGGTAGAGTTTTCTAAATATAATTTGAGAATAGAGTTATATTTTGAGTTTGTGAGTTTTGAAATTATGATTTGAGTGTAAAAAATTTATTTGGTTATGAATTTTGAAAAGAGTTTTGAATTGAGTCTGAAATGAATGATGTAATATATGATATTTAATTCAAAAATTTACAACTTATAACCAAACACACAACTCAAAATCCTATTCAAACCTCATAAATTTTTTTAAAAAAATTCTTACAATATTTTTTATTTAAAATATAAAAATAATAGGTTAAAAATAAAAAAAAAACTAAATACTATTCCGATTAACCGGTCGGACGTCCCAAGGGACGTCCAAGTTAGCCAAATTTTTTCACCTTGAAAAGAGTTTTCAAAAGTAAATGTGAAATTAATTTTTGAAAACTTCAAACAAATAAGACACTCAAAATAAGGGATAAAAATATATTTGGAGAAGCTAACCAAACACAATCCTAATTTTTCTTAATATATGATATAAATAGATAGATTCACACTCCTTAATATAAAAAAATTGAGCAGGCCAACTGATGGGCCAGCCACTGGGATTCATTACTCGAATTACATGCCCAAGTTAGAACGAACAACCCGAGTCATAACCCAGGTCAATTAAAATGCTCGCGGGTTGGTTGGGATTAGGTCGGGCTGAGCATCGGTGTCTCAAGTCAAATGATAACCCTCATTATTAGTTAAAAAATTTAAATGCTATATTAATAATTCATTTTTTCTTTTATAATTATCAAATTAATTACAAAAAATATTAATTAATTTTTCAAATACAATTATTTTAGTTAAAAAATATTTAAAAACTCTAAAAAAAGAATTCTAATAACTCTAATATATGTGTGAGCCTCATCTGATTTGATGTTTTAGCTTTGTATGTGTGTTTTTATTTTTATTTTTATTTATTTTTCACATCATTAAAACTCTAATTTTAGGAAAATGAATCACTATTACATTTTAATCAAATTAAAATAATCAAAAAATTAAATAATCAATTTTCCAAGTAAGACCGTAATCTTTCTAACTTTAAAAAATGAAAAATTAAAACCATGCATCTAGGAAATGATTTTTTTTTTGTGTGACTAAAATCTACTAAAAAATAAAATAAATTAAATTAAGATAAAATTTATAAAATCACATTAAATTTATAATTTTTTTTATTTTTTTCTTATAAATATTACATTTAATTATAAAAAAATCTAACTCAATTCTCAAATATAATTATTTTAATTTATTAAAATAACTAAAAATTAAAGAAACCTATTTTAACAGCTCACTTCCGAACGAGGAGACAGCTTATGTGGTGCTTTTGGTGAAGGGGTCACTAGCCCGCCTTCTCAATTCTCATCCATATATTCTTTCTTTTTAGGGTTACGATTTCCACACCTGAAACCCTCTCTCTCTCTCTCTCTCTCTCATCTAAGCTAGGGTTTTCACGATGATGCAACCAGCAACGAGCGTAGTTCAGCCACACCAGCAGAACCACCTTCAATACCAACAACAACAACAGTCATGGATGATTCAGCAGCAGCAGCAACAGCAACAGCAACAACAACAACAACAACAATGGCAGCAACAACAACAACAACAACAACAACCGCAACACCAGCAACAGCAACAATTACAGTATCAGCCTCAGCAGCAGATGTATTACCACCAGCAACAACCCCCTCAGGCGGCTGCCACGGCGGTGCAACAACCCCAGTACTCGGCGTCCCAGCCCTCCAGCGCCGACGAGGTCCGCACTCTTTGGATCGGTGATCTCCAGTACTGGATTGATGAACAGTATCTCATCAGCTGTTTCGCCCATACTGGCGAGGTAAATTACCTCTTCTCTCTCTCTCTCTCTCTCTCTCTCATAATACATAAAAGAATGATATATAGTTGTCTTGGTTATGCATTGTGATGTGTTTCTCTTTCTTTATCTCCATTTTTTACTTTTTTTCCCCATCAAATTTGAGTGAAATTTTCGTTAAAAAAGTTTGATTTGATATGGGAACACTCCAATCATTAGGGTTTTTTTTTTCCATCAATTTTTTTTGAAAAAATTTCAATCTTTAGTCTTTTTAAAATTTCATCAAATTAGAGTAAAAATATGACTGTTGGAAATTCGGCGAAGGATTAAGTTCATCCTCTATTTTGTGGAAAAATTGCCTCTCCCTTGATTTGATAGATTTGATGAAATGGTTGGAGCATTGATAGCCATTTTTTTTTTCATGAAATTTGGATTTGATGGGAAAATTGGTGAAGGGTTGGAGAAGCATTGCAGCATTTGGTTTTTTTTTTTAAATGTTCTGATTGATAGGTTTGCGAGAAAGATTGAGCAAAACAACTGCTATGTAATTGATTGATGGTATTGGAGAGAAGTACACTCTGTCATTTTTGTTATGCGGTTGAATTTGTTTAGTGTCATGGGTGGCCTTTGTTTATGGCATTAATTGATTATATGAATATAAAATATAGACACATATATGTAGTATATAATCCTCACCCACACACACACATATATATATATTTCATACTTGGAATTTAATGTTTTTGGTTCGAAAGAGTTGTTATCTGTTATATTTGAGTTCGATTTCATGTAGGATAGGATGGGGTTGATTTTCTATTTTTAATTTTTGACGCAGAGAAGTTTTTGGTCAATGTTGGATGGAGGATATGGATCTAGGGTTAAGACATTTTGAAGAATTAGGATTATAGAAGCAGGCAGAGATGGCCAGTTTTGAACATTTTAATTATTATTTTAAACTAAATAAAAAATATTAAAAAATATTGGAGGTTTGGGTTCAAAGAGGCCTTAAGGCTAATAAATTTAAAAGTTAATGCAAGACAATGCTAGCAAGTTGGATTAAAAAAATGTTCTAGATAATTGTCGACATGTATTATTATTATTATTTTCTACAAGGCACAGTAACAAGTCGTTTTTGGTACTAATATTTAAATTTTATTATTTTTTCATGCTATTATTTCCAACACATTGTTTGGTTTTTAATAGTTGAATTTGTAATTCTATAATTTTGTGGGTTTTTTTGATGGCATTATTCACACAGAGATATGGTTCACCAATCACAAGTGGAGTTTTTACTCGGTTTTGGAGAACTCAAAGTGGGATGTGGAAAACATATTTATGGTTCAAATTTGTTGTGCAAATTGAAATCAAGCAGTTGATTTTCTGCATAAGTAAATATATCATCATGCTTGTGATTGCACTGTGCACCCACACTGAGCATCACCATATCCAGATTATTTATAGGCATAGATAACTGTGCATGTACGTGCATGTCAGTGGTCCTCCCACAGACCCTTGTGTGTCTACTTACTGGAAGTGTTCTTGTAGGTGGTCTCTGCAAAAGTGATCCGTAACAAGCAAACTAGTCAATCAGAGGGTTATGGCTTTATTGAGTTCGCAAATCATCCTGCTGCAGAAAGAGCGTTACAAACATATAATGGTACCCAGATGCCAAATATTGAGCAGAACTACAGACTGAACTGGGCATCCTTTGGTACAGGTGAAAAACGTCAAGATACTACCCATGACTACACCATATTTGTTGGAGATTTGGCATCTGATGTTACAGATGACATGCTGCAAGAGACTTTCAGACCCCACTACCCCTCAGTTAAGGGTGCAAAGGTTGTAACCGATAGGATGACCGGAAGGACTAAGGGCTATGGGTTTGTCAGGTTTGGAGATGAAAGCGAACAATTGCGTGCTATGACCGAAATGAATGGAAAGTTCTGTTCCACCAGACCCATGCGTGTTGGACCAGCTGCTAACAAGAAGAATGCAGGTAACTTGCATACTTCAGCCTAGCCTTTTGTTATATTATTGGTCCATATGAATCACTTTGCATTCGGATGACATTGTTACTTGCATAAAAATCTTTAATCTTGTTGTGCATATGTTATTATGTTTTATTTTTTAACTGAATATTATTGTGTGCTTTGATTATTCAATTTTGGCCTTCAGAATGGTGATGTGGAGTACTATTCTTTTCACAATATTTCTTATCTGTAGTCTTCTAAAGAATACTCTTTAGTTCAAATTCCTTTCAGTTATGCTCTTGATTCTCAGATAAAGCCAACTTTCAGTCATTTCCTTCCATTACTTTCCATTCGAAATTTTGGGCATTAATAATATATGAATACTAAAACTTGCAACGACTTATAGAACTGTTGTCTCGAAGCAGGGTGTTAAGAGGCTCAATCATTTAGGGACTGGGAACTGATTTCAGCTGAAATGGTTACCCTATAGTGCGTGGCCATACTTAGGTCAGTTCTCCTTTTTTTATCATTACTTTGCCCTTTATATCAGTTCCTCGTGGCATTAATTATGCTACAAGTTTCAAATTCTATTTTCATTTCCATGTATTGATTTAGTAGTCAGTCTAGTTATGTCATTTTCCATTCCAGTTCGTCTCTATTATTTTTGATTATCCACCAGTAGAGTTATTGATTTTCGTCGCATTAGGCTATACTGCATTTCAGAAGTGTGAAATTATATCCTTTTGAATTTAGTAATAATGAGGGAGAGACATTGCTCCACACTTGAGTCCTGTTTGTTTTGATTTGAAGGTGATGGGATTGGAGTAACAACCCGGTGGGTCCCACATAAATCCTGTTTGCTTTGGAACAATGCCATGGGACTAACAGTCCCCCAATGAGACTATAAATTCACTCGAAGGGGGGTGTTAACAATCCCATGGGAGGTTGGGTTTCACAATCCAATCCTATGGGATTGGAGGTGAAAATATCATTATACCCCCACTTAACAAAAAGAACAAAGCTATCTTTTATATATTGAGAACTTCTACGTAAATTCATAGATTTAATCCCAACCGACTAATACCACCGCTACTATACAAACAAATACAATTTATCTTATATTTTTCACCTAATACCACAACATTAGTAATCCCTTCACTCAATACTAATAATCCCATCTAAGCTAGTTCGGTAAACAAACGGTGCCTTGCAGGTACTTTACTTTGGGATGTATGGTATAGTAATAGACATGGCTTTTTGGAGCGTTTGTTTGTTGCCTAGCTATATACATAGTGTGATAAAGATTTGAGCTTGTAAGTTTATATGTTTTACTATATTATATTAACATAGTCAGCTGAAGTTGCTTTCATCAGCAGTTTACTGAACCCATGGTGATGTGGATCTTCAGCAGGTGTGTATGGTTCCTATTTTGATTTTTATTATTTTATATAGAGATTTTCAGGTCATGCCTTTTCTAGATTCTGGATGGTCTAGTACCCCATTCTTGTGCATTGTTATTATACATACAAATATCTAAAATTACTAACCGCACTTAATAAAATCAAGAGAAGCAGCACAATGAAGGGCTGAAACTGCAGCATTAAGCCATGTGACCATGTCAGAAAACTTAAACTTAAACCATATTAAAGAAAACAGTGGCTGTCATCTGTATTGCAACCAAAATCATCATCGCCATCTATGTTACACAGACTCGGGTACAAGTATCATGTGCTGGTGCTTGTCCAAGAGTCCAACCTTCATAAACTTAAATCTTAAGTTATTGGGATATGTATATGATGATGTAATTATGTAGAAATAAACTTAAAATTAAATAGGATTTAAGAAAAATATGAAAAGTTGGATGTGGACACTTATATTTGTTTATTAGAAAATGTGAGTTTCTTTTCATTCTAATTTCTAACATTGTAAGAGTTAGAGGATCTAAGTATGTAAATTGGGTACGGGCTTTGTTATTAGAATCTTACAATTTGCGATTTAGTTTGCGATTCATGCATAGATTAATATAAATTTATAGGTGAATCTATTTTGGTATAGAATCTATTGTGAATCGCATGGTTTACAATCAATTCACTTTTTATAATCCACTCAGTTTTTGAAACTATTGTGTCAGATTGATTCCAGACATTTTTTAGTTTATTTAGTAGTGTATGGGCATGGCTTCAAAATAATGATTAAAGTAAATCCTGTGTAGTTTTTTCAGTAGTGGATGCGCATGGCTTCACGTTGACTGCATGATCTTTTGTTTAGGTTGTTTTGTTTGTTGGCCTTTGGTTTGCTTTGAGATTTGAATTTGTTTTGCTACTTAATGAAACCCTTGGCTGGCAGAATTTTGTTGTGCGTTTGTGATTTGGTGGATCTACCTGGGGATAGTAATGAAAGAAATATGTATAATTCACTTCATCTATGCCTTTACATTCTCGTGCCTACTGCTTTGATGTTATAAAGAAGGTTTAGTGTCTATCTTTTCTCTTTCTCTACATGTGTTGAAATATTGAACTAGTGTCATGAGGTTTTCATTTATTCAAGTTTTTTAGCTAAACATGTTCTGTTTAGAAGATATCATATTTCACTCTGGCTATCTTTTTCTATTAAAAGATTATCCTGAATGGCAGTAACTTGGACAAAGTAGTTATAATGTGCTCAGTTAGGGGTGTGAATCGTCACATCTTTTGTCAGTTTGTAAGCTGTATGTATTGAACTTCTTCTTTCTTCTTTTTCTTTTATTTTTATTTTTATTTTTTAAATTTCCTTTTCCCCTTATTTTTTGGTGTTTGAGGATCTTTTCATGTCTTAAATTTAGCATATTTATGTTCAATGAAATTGTCCCATTTTTTTTTTATGATCCATATGTTTTGCATTTTTGTTAGAAGGGAACATGCTTATCAAAAAAACAAAAAAGTTTGAAGGAAACATCTCACTTTTAAGTCGTTACTTCTGCATTTTCTTCACCTGTGCTTTTCCCATTTGCAGCTTCATATCAGAATACACAAGGAACTCAGAATGAGGATGATCCAAATAATACAACTGTGCGCAGTTTTTTCTCTTTAATTAGGATAATATTGCTATCTCTCTCTCTCTCTCTCTCTCTCTCTCTCTCTCTCTCTTTCTCTCTCTCTCTCTCAGTTTTTATTTCCTTTGGGGGGTAGCGGAACTGATATGATTCTGGCCAAAAACTTGCATTGTCAGATATTTGTCGGTGGTTTGAACGATAGCATTTCAGATGACCAACTCAGGCAAGTTTTCAGCTCATATGGGCAGTTACTCCATGTAAAAATACCAGCTGGCAAGCGATGTGGTTTTGTTCAATTTGCTGATAGGTAAGATCGGTCAGCCTCAGTTTTTTCCTTTATTGGAGTTATAATGCATGTTATTACGAGGGACTTTGTTCTGTTCCATGTACATGGCGGTAGACATTCTGCTGAGGAAGCATTGAGGATGCTAAATGGAACCCAGTTGGGTGGACAAAATATTAGACTTTCATGGGGTCGTAGTCCTTCAAACAAACAGGTTCGTATCATCTGAAACTAACTTGTGCTTTCTGCAATTAACTACACATTTTCCCCAATGAATATGTAAGACATACTGCATCCATCTATTGGCTTTGTTCAGACTCAGCCGGATCCAAACCAGTTGAATGGTGGGTATTATGGATATGCACCTGGATACGAAACTTATGGATATGCGGCAGCTGCTCAAGATCCTAATCTTTACTATGGAGGCTACCCTGGATATGGAAACTACCAGCAACCCCAGCAACAGCAGGTGAGACACGTGTGTACTTTGGCTTCTTTTCTGTCCAATATTTTCTTCCTAGTAAGTGATGTTAAAAGTTTTCTCAAGGTTTCTGTATTAATTGGTCATGTATCCTCATTCCTCTTGCTTTTCACAATAGCTGCCAAGTGAATGAGCTTGGTGATCCTAGGTGTGTACTCAGTGAGTCATATGATATCAGAATATGTTATGAGTACTTCAGATGTAAGATGCCTGTAGGGGGATTGACCGTAGGTTAGAGGTTCACCAGAGTGATAAAATACGTCATAAGAAGACAAAGGGATTTTATATATAGAGAGAGAGATGGAACAGTCGAGCCAAGAGAGAGAGAAAGAGAGCTAGAAGTATGGAGCTTGACTGGAAATGATGTATTCTAACCATGATGATAGCAGTACACCCTTCTATACATAGAGCACGTGGTTTTAACTAATTGTCTGAAATATCACCTTATTTTTAGGGATCTTATCATAAATCAATTGGACCGTTAGGATTACATAATGATATGGAGAAACCCAATGGTGAGGTCTTCATCATACAGTAGCTTTACCCACACGGTGCAAAGTGCCATCTAGCCACCAAGTCACAAGACCTTAGAATCTTGCAGTGCCTGGCGAAGGCTTTTGCTTTTCTTAGACCTTAGGTACATGGGTTATGCGGTACATCATCCGAGGTAATGGAGTGGTGCAACTATTTTGATTGAGTGATGATGAGGTGCAATGTAAAACTTCTACAATTAAGAATTAGCATAGACTCGACCACCATAGGTTGACACAAATGAAACATATTATAAGTTTGAATATAATAACTTAGTATTCAATTGTAAAAAAAATAAAACTTATGTCTATTATCGTCTTTTAGTTAGAAATTAGTTTTATAATGTATTTTGTTATTATCAATGAATTAAATATGGGAAAATTACCCCCCAAAAAAAAAAATAATAATCTAGAGTTTTACCCTTCTAATAAAATAAGCCTTGAACATTTAGGTTTGAGATGTTCTAAATAAGTGCACTTTTTGACTTTTTATAAAAAAAATGTATAGAAAAGTAGAGAAAGTGAGTAGAAAAATAGAGAGGAGATATTGATAGATGTTGATTGATGTGACTTAAAGAAGTGTATGTATGCAAAAAAATAAAAAATTCAAGATTTATTTTGTTATAAGGGTCAAATTGTAGAGTTTTTTTTGTCTAATTTCCCCATTAAATATTCATATACTTAACATATATTAAGTGTTTATTCTTAGATACATATATAATAAATATATATATTTTGCTCATGTTCCAAACGTGTCGTGTCTTACACTTTTCAAAAATTTCAGTGTCGGCAAGTTCATGTTTTGTGTTACGTATACTTGTTCTGTGCTTGTTAGTGGACTTGTAAATCTGCAAATTCATGCATGCCGGAGGACAGTAAAACCTCTTTTGTAGTTACCCTTTGTTAATTTTTTAATGCATCAGAGTACTAATAGAAATAGAAGGGGGCTTTTTGATGATACAAATGAGCTTTTTGTTGATACAACTGAAATTTTGAATTGATTCAATTGATCAACTTTCAAAATTTTTGGGGGTGGTATATATGCTGTATGTCACCAAGTTGTACGGTTATTTTCTTGGGCACTAGCATGTTTACATTGAAGTTGAAGAGGTAATTAGTCAGGCTTGTGTTTCATTTTTATTATTATTGATAGTACTCTTGTACTAATCTTCATTTTGGGATTATATAATGACCCTAACAGTTTTACGATACGATGATGTGCAGTGAATTTCTGGTCTGTTTGCCTGCAAGAGATGATGGATGGAGATTGACCTCTGGTGAAATCTAGCCAAGGAAAGTAATGCTTACATTGTGAAAGAACAGAACTTTCAGTCACTGTTTATTGAGTTTCTCATTCCCTGCTCTAGTATTTGTAGGATTCGATATTGGAGTGGTGTCTATTTCTGGCTTGCGTGCTATTTCATTTTTGAGCGGTTTATTTTTTTCCTGCTGTTTTTCCTAGTTGCTCTTGTTTTGAAATATGTTTTTATTGTCTGTTTACTCTGTTGAGAGCTCGCACAATTAACATCAATTATGTGTTTTGATTATGGTATTAGCATGTATTTTCATTGCCGTGAATGTATACCGTGCTATCTCAAATCAAGGCTGCCTCAGAAACAGTTTGCGTAGTAGTTATTTGTATTGCTTAATTTCCTGTCTTGCCATTTTACTTTAGGTTTATTTTATGTTCACATTTTAATGAGTGAACTTTTTTGAAACTTATTTTAATGAGTGAACTTGAGAGATTCATGGGGCCCACTAGGGGTTGATCCAAATTATTTAGGGCAAATTACACAAATAGTCCGTCTAGTTTGGGGTTTGTGTCACTTTGGTTCTTGACTTTTTAATTGTGATACATTTGATCTTGAATTTTGAATCTTGTTCCAAATAAGGACAATTGAATATATAATTAGATTTTTTAAGGATAGAATTGTTAAATTGATAAAATATAAACTAATTTGACAAAAATAAATGTCAAACAAATATTTTTAAATTTTTGAAAATTATTTTTACTTACTAAAAATAAAATTATGTAAAATTGATAAATCTTTTAGATATTTATTTATTTATTTTTATCAAATTAATTTTTATTATATGTTTGGATGATGATTATGTAAAATTAATTTTAAAAAATTAATCATGTAATTTTTATTAATTTTATATAATTTTATCATTGGTGGATAAAAATAATTTTAAAATAAGTGAAAATATTTTTTTGACATTTATTTTTGTCAAATTAGTTTATATTTTATTAAATTGATCATTTTATCCTTCAAAAATCTAATAATATTTTTAATTGTCTTTATTTGGAACAAGATTCAAAATTCAGGGTTAAATGTGTCACAATTGAAAAGTTAAGGACCAAAGTGACACAAGTCTCAAACTATAGGGACTATTAGTGTAATTAACCTAATTATTTATTTTGTAGAATTTTTAATGTATATTATTTATAAAAAAGTTAGGTCAATTCACAAACCTTAACCTTTTCATTTTGTGGAGTTTATCTCTAAAAAATTAAATGGTTTATTTTCAAAACAATGTTCATTTTTTTGGAGCTTGAATTGAATTATTTTTTTTCATGGATGATATACTTTGAAGGTTTTGTAAAATGAATGGTTCTAATCGTTTTCGTAAAATTCTCAGAGGTTAACATGAGAGTTCAACCAGTTACTTTAATATCATAGCTTTGTGAATAAGAAATGGGAGGAAAATATAAATTGTGTTTTACTTGAAAGGAATATATAATAAGTAAATGGCAAAAGGGGAGGCTTACATTGACTCGTGGCCTTGCACCAAGGTCTCAAATTGATGTATGTTTAATACTGAATCTTTTGTCCTCAAAATGCTCTATTTATCTTAGGGTAAATTATAAATATTCATTTAAATTTGTTTAAAATATAGATTGTCTTGTGATTTTAAAAATTATAATTACTCCATTGTCAAATTTATTTGTTTTAATATGTTTAATACTGAATCTTTTGTCCTCAAAATGCTCCATTTATCTTAGGATAAATTATAAATACTTATTTAAATTTGCTTAAAATATAGATTGTCTCATAATTTTAAAAATTATAAATACTCCATTGTCAAATTTATTTGTTTTAACAGAATTAATAAAAAAAATAAAATTTCTAACTATTCTTATATAATAATATGCTCTAAAAGGAAAATTATCTAAATTGTTAATTGAATTATATTATGGGGGATTTATTAGAGTTTTTTTATTTTTTGGTAAGTATTTGTATATCAAGTAGTCTATATTATATTTTTGAATTTTAATAAGATTTATTATTTGGATATTTGATCCATCAAATCTTAATTATCATTGAAGTATTTTATAAATAATTTTACCTTTATAAATATTTTTTGAATGTTTAGCAACTTGGCGATGTGAACATTTATATTTTACAATGTGAATAATATTATTAGGAATATTTTAGTAATTATGTCACTCATAAGACTTATTGGAATATAAAAAAATAATTTAGATTAAGTGAAACATAAATAGATGAATAAGATTTATGAATAAATGTCCTATATATTTTTAAACATTATTAAAAATTATTGACTTCATGATTTATTAATAAAATATATAATTCATAATGTGATTAAAAACTTGAAGGGTGAGATGTAATTTTTAAAATCACGTAAAGTAATTTGTATTTTAAATAAATCTGAAGGGATATATTAATAATTTACCTTTTATATTAGGGAAATTTTATTTATGCACCATTAATCCTCTAAATACATACTGTTAAAACCTATCACCTACTTCACCCACTTAAACCTACTCCACTAAACCTAACCCACTACACCACTACCACCTCACCTACTCCACTTTATGCTTTCGGTGGGTTAGCATCCAATGTACCCTATTTACTCTCTATAAATGAGAGTGTTATAAAACATATTCAATACATCAATCATAATACATACAATTTATTATTTCTCTATCAATTTATCTTACATGGTATCAGAGCCATAAGATTTAGGCCTATATTTTGTTTTCTCACCGGCGGGCAGCCGGCCGGCAACCTTGCCTTCGCTGCCCGCTGAAATTTTCTACACATACCTTCACTTTCCTGCATCTTCCAACTCATCAACAAAATCCCCACCACCTCTTCTCCTATTTTCACTCTTCTTCTCTCTCTCCTATCACACACAGATACACACATACACTTGCTTGCTCTCTGTGTGTGTGTGTGTGTGTGTGCGCGCGCAAATATCTGCTTTGTCATTTCCATTGCTGTTCAAAGTTTCAGAGTTGATCAGCCATTTTAATCAGCAAAAATGCATGCAAATCACTTGCTTCTCGAAGAACCTATCAGGATGGCTTCAATCCTCGAGCCATCTAGATCCAGTTTCTTCCCTGCAATGACCAAGATCGTCGGGACTTTGGGTCCTCACTCTCGATCCGTAGAGGTCATCTCTGCTTGTCTACAAGCTGGAATGTCAGTGGGTTGATTCGACTTTTCGTGGGGGGACGCTGAGTATCACCAAGAGACTTTGGAAAATTTGAGGACTGCTGTGAAGTCTACTAAGAAGCTTTGTGCTGTTATGCTAGATACAGTGGGGCCTGAGCTGCATGTTATCATAAACGCTGAGACAACTATTTCACTTCAGGAGGATGGTATAGTTGTTCTAACACCCGATCAAGGTCAGGAAGCTTCTTCTGACATGTTGCCAATCAACTTTTCTGGACTGGCAAAGGCAGTGAAGAAGGGAGACACCATCTTTCTTGGTCAATACATGTTCACAAGAAGTGAAACTACTTCTGTTTGGCTGGAGGTAAATGAATTGAAAGGGGAAGACGTGGTTTGTTTGATAAAGAATATTGCAGGTGTTGCACTTATGTCTTTCCCTGTTTTGAATTCCCACTTGAGACTTAGGTTTGAAACAGTTGATGGGCTGATCTTGGATTCTCCATGGGCATGTCTCTGGTTATATATATCACCGCCATGGTTCAACCAATCTCCTGAATTTGAACCTGCAGTGAGACTCAGAGTGTGTAGACAAAAGATGCATAAGAAAAGCAACAAAAGATTCTTCTCAGAGTGTGTAGACAAAAGATGCATAAGAAAAGCAACAAAAGATTCTTCTTGTTGCAGGTTTGTGTTGGTGACAGCTGTGGGATATAAACCCACGCTTTTTTTCTCATCTATCACACATCCACCACCCACGTTATTTCACACTTTTCTTTTATTTTAATATATATATATCTATATTTTTTTATTATAATATATTTTCCTTATCCCTACTTTTATTTTATTTTCTTTTTTCTATCTTTCTTTTTCCATCAATATTTCCTTATTCTACAACTCGTTAGTGAGCATCACCCTTTTTCCATTGTCTTATTATTATTTTTTATATTCCACCCAAAAAAAAAAAAAAAAAAATCACACCGATGTTTTTCATATGACCCATTCTCAAATATTTTTATCTATTTTCTTTATCTGTTGTTTTATTTTATTTTATTTTTATTCTTAAACAAAACAACAACACAAAATAACACCACAAACATTCCACACCCTTGTCATTTCTTCCTGCCGGGGATCAACCCCGATCACCATTTTACACCACAAAAAAAAAAAAAAAAACCCCACAACAGGCGACAGGTAACACATTCATATGGTACACGTTAAATATTTGCTTATTTGAAATTTTTATTACAAAGTAAAAGTAGCATAAATTTTGTGTCTTTTTTGATCGGGGATTTGGGGAGGGATTTGGAAAAGGAAATGAAAATGATAGGTGAAATTTGAATAAAACGTGATTATATTTCACATAATTTCACACACCTTTTTCCTTTTTCTTTTCAAATTCCTCCCCAAATCTCCAACCAAACACAACATTAATTAAGGTGCACATCATAAATTTATCCTAAAAACTTTAAACAATCCACTATTTAACTCGACTTGGTTAGCTCATAATTTCAAGCATCTCCCTGCCTAATAATACATAGAATACATACAACAATAGTTTTACATAACTCATCTATGAAAGAGCCCTGATGTCTCTATTTACAATATCTCAATCCTAGAATTAGTACATACATTGCTCATTTCAAAGTACCGATGTGAAAAGAAAAAAAAAAAAAAACTGAAATATCCCACTCATACCCTTTAGTTTCCAGAGGATAAGAAGCAAGATGAGAGTAGCTTAGCCTGCAGTTCTCATTCTGCACAGACTAACTGAGCTGCTGTGCTTCCCACTTCACCTTCTTCCTCTGTGCTGATGCTGAAACATGTTTCAACCCAACCCTTCTGCCCCCATTCCAAAGCCTACTCTTCAAAGCATATATATACTCAGATATGTGTATCTGTACATTGCTATTAGTCTCTCATCTAGAACTTGACATGTCAACAAACTCTGCCAAAGTTAATTAGCATCATTACCCAAATTAGGTGCTTTTCTTTTACCAGGTTTGCTCTCAGATCTCCAATGCTGCAAATGTGTCCAAAATGTGAGCATCTAAGGCTTAAAACAAATTATGATATGGTTGAACACCTGATAATATATTGCAAACCTTACTACCAAAAATAAAGAAAACTTAACTACAAACCAAAGCCTACAACTTTCAAAATCACTAAAACACATACAAAGCTCGCTTACAAGCAAACAATTGGCCTATTTGGTGCATCTTCTTGCATGTAGAAAGTTGATAATAAAAAATTAGAAGCTAAAAGCATTCCTCCTCCAACTTTTCAACTGCAGCTTTTTGTAAATTATAAGCAGAAGTTGTATCAATTGCTCTGTTACAGACTTTCAAAGTAAATAAAAAAAATATAAGCAGGCCCATAAGCTTCACCAATGCGTCTGCTACAACGGTCCGACATGACCCCGTAAACTGTCTTCTACAACGGTCCGACATGACCCCATAAACTGTATTCTACATCGGTCTGATACGACCACACAGTGTCTGCTACATCGGTCCGGCATGACCTCGTAAACTGTCCTGCTACATCGGTCCGACATGACCTCGTAAATTGTCTGCTACAACGGTCCGACATGACCCCATAAACTGTCTTCTACATCGGTTTGACACAACCATCCAGTGTCCTCTACAACGTTATGACACGACCATACAGTGTCTTCACCATCGGTCTGACACGACCATACAGTGTCTCCTATCCTCTTTTCTTTTATGTATTCGTCTATTTTCTTGTTTTGTTACTCTCTCCAAACTCAAGTTGGCTAGTTCCTATCCCCCTTGAGTTTGCGGGGGGCTGTTAAAACCTATCACCTACTTCACCCACTTAAACCTACTCCACTAAACCTAACCCACTACACCACTACCACCTCACCTACTCCACTAAACCTAACCCACTACACCACTACCACCTCCACTTCACCTACTCCTTACCTACTACACACTCACCCTCTTCTATATATAGGAATCATGAATCATTGTAATAAATATCAACAACAATCAATAATACATCAATTTTAACACATACACACTATCAAAAGGTATGAGTTATTTGCTTTACACATTTTCGATAAATTTCTAACAAAATTCTAACAAAAAAGAACAATTATAATAAAATAATACTTTGAGAAAGTTAATTGTTGAGTTTTAAAAAGTGCAAATGAGTCAGTTTAAAAGGATTTACTATAATTTACCTGTTTGACAGTTGGTAGAACATAAAACAAAAGTTTAACATAAAATTTTTTTTTTTTAGGCAAAGATGGTAAGATATTAGTTTGTTAATAAAGTTAAATTACAACTAAAAAAGTCACTGTTACTCCATCAATTCAACCATTGCCACACCCAAGGTCTAAAACATGCCTCTTTGGGCAAAAAATTACACCAAATATTTTTTGAACTAAAAGCTTACAAATGACACCAAATTATCCCCACTATCATTATCACCATCACCATTAATACAATTAAACACAACTAAACATAGAAAAAGTTCTCTCCATAAAACATTTTTCATTGAAAAAAGAGAGACTGCTAACTCCGAACACGCAAAATTTTGAAAGAAAATCTACAGAACTTGGGTGCTCACTTCAGCCATTCATTCATTTAACAGCATATCTGTGAAGTGTAAACCTAATATTGTTCATCGAGCTCTTTCTGAGCTGCAGAAGCTGAAGGGCATGTATGTTTATTAATCCATGATCACAAGCAAAACTTACGAATGCTATTGTGTCAGTGATAGCTGCACAGCCTAAGAATTGCTCCAGGTTCATATCACAGGTCAGTGACAAAGTCCTTTTCAAGAACTCAAAATGGATATGACTGATTGAGAGACCATTAGTATCTTCTATTTTTTTCACTTTTCTTATGGGCTATGAAGCACGGACATCTCTCCGAGGGTTGCATATTAGTGTCGGACACGGACACGCGTCGGACACATGGTGGACATGTGTCCGACATGCAATAGGTGTTTTTTTTTTTTTGGCAGACAAACACGTAATAGACACGTTTGGGACATCGCGGGATAAAATTCATAATTTTGAAACTTTTGTGGAGGTCAATTTGTAACCTAGAATAGAACAGAGAGAACAAAAGAGAGCGAGAGAAAGGTTTGTTGGGCACACCTGATTGCTCTTCAGTGGTCGGTCGTTGGTGGTCAATGTTCTTGCTGTTATCCAATGTACAACTTCGATCTTCTTCTTCATTCTTCTCCTCTAATCTTTTCTCTTGTCTCTCTCTTCTCCCTGCTCTCTCTCTTATTTTCTTTTATATGTTGATGGTAACATCTCTATCTCTCTGCTATTTTTTTTTTCCGATTTTATTTTATTTTTTCTTCTCTCTTTGCCTCTGTTATTTGATTATATATATATATATATTTTGTTTAAGTTTTATTAAATCAATGAATTTTTTTTAAACATAATTTTAAAAGTGTTATTTTGTATTTTTTATTAACCTTCAATGATTTTTTTATTATAATTTTATGACATATAATAAATAAATTTAATTATATATATTGTATGTGTTCCCATCGTGTCGTATCCTCCATTATTTTGAAAATTTACGTGTCTGCATGTCCATATCGTGTCCGTGTCCGTGCTTCGTAGCTTATGGGAAAAAATAGGCTATTTTCACTCACCATGGGAAAGATGTTTGACCTGCACCATACTAACAAAATTTCACAGAATTTTTTGGTCCGATGGAAATGGGTTACACTACAAGGGAGAGTCTCTTCTTTTCCCTACCATGACAGCTAACCAGAGTTAAGGCGGAACTCCATTCCAGGTCCCTAGTAACTACAAGAAGGGACTTTACCAACAAAGCTCGTTGACAACTTCAAATTTCACAGGTTATTGAAGTACAAAGAAAATAATATCAATGGTACCAAAAAGCTGATGTTTAATTTGGTATTAACTATCAGTTCACACATTTCAAGTGAAAAATAAATAAAATTTAATCACTCAGGTTGTCAAATATCTAATTCCAAATAGATTTTATTTTAAAGGTTCAGACAAACAAAATAGTTGGAAGAAGTACCGAGCTTAATCATTCTAATTTAGAATTAAAATCAATTCTAAGTAACAAAGATTCAACTCTGTTTACAGGATGTTTTAGCTCTCTACTATTAAAATTTTTACCAGAGCTGATGTCTACCAATGGACTCACGGATAGAAATGCCAATTGATGAGGAACCATCATCGTATTCAATCTGGTTTTTTCAAGTTCAAGCAGTTATCTGCTGCTTGGCCGAACAAGTCATGGACTTGCTTCAATTCCTTCTCTGGCACCACCAATAGCAGTGAATAAAGGTTAGCTTTAGGAAAGACAAAACAGTTAAAAGCACTGAAGGTCCCCCAAATGAGCAGATCAAATGAATACAAGCTAAGGATAGACATCTTCCATTTGCTGTTTTTTCAAGGTCCACATGAAACTTGGCAGACATAGACTGATAAATTTATAAGCTATACCATCATTTGGGTTTTCATATCCAAAATCCATTTTTAAATAAAAAAGATGAAAAGACAAAAGGAAAGTCAAAAGCTTTACCTGCAGCTTCCAGTTGCCTCTGAAGTTCCTGGCCTACAGCATCATTTTCAGCCTGAACATCAAGTTCACATACGGGAAGATTATGAGACGATGTTTCAATTTGTATATCAGATGGATGACTCTATTGCTCAACATCATACCTGAAGCTCTGCAATTCTTTTTAGTTGAGCCTCTTCACCTCCCTCAGACAAAGGAAGTGCTGCAACCAATGCATCGAACTGCATAGGTAAAACTCACATTTCTGTATATCAAACTTGTCTAACAAGCTTGGATGGTACGGGAAGAAACAAAAGAGATGATCAAAGCCAAAGCGTGGCGGGTAGTCAACAATTTCATACTTTCAGAATCAATTTTGCTCCAGGGAGTTTTCTGATGGTCAAATTTTGATAATTGAACCTCTTATTTTATGGGTATTGTTGAGAAAGTCTACTTATGGTTTCTACTTTATACAGGTTTTGATGCTGCAACCAAGGATGGTTTCAATGAGATGTTTTGATGATAGCTAAAAATCTGCTTGTACATATGGAGTCAGGGAAGCCTACTTATGGTTTGCTACTTTATACAGGTTTTGATGCTGCTACTAAGGATGGTTTCAACGAGATGTTTTGATGATGGCTAAAAATCTGCTTGTAAAAATGGAATCAAGGGTCTCTCCCTCCCTCCCTCGCTCTCTTTCTCTTGCATTTGGGGGTATGCAAATACTTCATTAAGGTGAGGGAAGTGTTAAAAAAAGGAAGATAATTTCTCCTTAAAGAAATAAGGAAAAACCCAGCAAATAAATAAGTAAAGCAACTCCACAAGGCAAAATGGAGTCCCCAACAGAGTTTTCAGGAGAAGCCATATTCCTTTCTGCAAGGCAACTGGCTATGAAGCACGGGTACTCAAAAAATGGTGCCATACGAGTACCGGGTACTAACCGGGTGTAGGTGCAGGTGTGGGTGTGGGTGCGGGCATGCGTACCAGGTATGCCGAAGACATGCCGGGTACGGAAAATATGTTTGGGTACATCGTGGGTACGGTACGTGTACGGCGAGGTATTTTTTATTTTATTTTATTTTATTTTTTGCAGCTGCTAGAATTTGTTGTAACCTTTATTATTATTCTTTCAACTTCATAAATCATCAAGTAATTTATTTTCAACGCCCTTTACCCATAAGTCATGGATTTGTTCTCTTTTACATCATGTTTTAAACAATCAAAAAAATAAAGAAGAAAGAATTATATAATTTTTTAGACAAGTTGTTCTCTTTTTAGTTTTGATATTGAAACTTTGATTTGTAGATTGGATATTTAGCTATAAATTTTAAAAAAAATTGATGTACCCCAACCGTACTCAATTACAAAAAAAATTGATTTGTAGATTGAAACTTTTTAAAGAATTTACCGTATCGGCGTACTCGTATCACACCCGTACCGTACCTGCATATGTATCTGCACCAATGCTTCATAGGCAACTGGTCTCCAGATTGGTTAAACCTAGGAAAATAAGATTAGGGCCAACCAAAAATTTTAAGGGATTGTCTCCTTGCTGGATACGAGAATAAATCCACACACCACTTCTTCCATTTTTTTGTAAAATCATCACAAAGCTCTCTTACTCCTAAAAGTTCAAACCCAAAATGACTATATTTGGGACAAGACTTGGCTATAAAAAGAAAGCTATCTTGAACTCAGTTGAGAACACTAAAAGACTGTTATTATTATCATTTTTTTTTTCAGTATTACAACAAATAAGAACAGGATTATCCACCATGTTGGGTTAAAAAAAAATAGATACTAGTTTGACAAAAATAAACGCAAAAAAACTATTTTCAAATTTTAAAAATTATTTTCACCCCCATAAAGATAAAACCGTATGAAACTTACGAATTTTTTTTAAATTTTTTTACCAAACTAATTTTCAGTTTTTTGAAAAAAAAAAAAAAACATAAAACAGTTTTAAAAACTCAACCAAACAGGGTGACAGTATTTATAAGACTCAAGAAAATTCTTGACAAGACAACAATTCAACATGGAAGGGAGAAGGTTGGAAAGGATAGCCTCTTTTGAAACATTTTGACCAGAATGGAGAAAATACTAATGGAGGACTCTGCACCACTATTTTGATGGTACAATGTTCCAAAAATTCCATTGAAGAACTCAATGGCAACAATTTTATATTCAACTACTTCAAAGATTACACTATTATCAGCTAACCAAACTTTAAAAGCTGGGAACTTTGGAGATACTTCTACTAAAACCAGAAACTTTATGACTACAAGACTGTTAGTTTTCTTCCCATAAGAATGAAGTAGAGCATCTAAACCAACCCTAGATGGTCTTGATAAATAGAGAACACACCAATAAATAAAATCAAGGGTGAATTACCTGACCTCCCCTGTGATTTGTAAAAAATACAAGCCGTCTCACAGTTGACATAATTACATTGACCACCTTTTTAGTAAAGTTAAAGAGACTGAAACTAATGCAAATAATGTGAAGACACAAAGATAAACAAGAAAAAATGTAAATTTAAGTCATATGACATCATTTTTCCATCCATATAATTAACAAATTATTGATAAAAAAAGGGGTTGAATTAAAACCTTAAGGGATCTCAATGTAATTATGCCAAAACTGTGAGACTACTTGTATTTTCTACAAACCTCAAGGGAGCTCATTGCAATTTGCCCTAAAATCAAACTAGTTAGATCTCTTTTCATTTGTTTTGGGTATGACCAAGCCTTCGTCAATCACACTAAAGTGGAGCACCCAACTATGGCAAGGCCTCCTTAAGGATTAGGTTAGTCAATTCGGCCCCTTGTGTAATACTAAAGAACGTGAACTAACCAGGAATGATAGGTATAGTTTCTTTAACTCAGTTGAAGTCTCCTAAAACAAACAAGTCAGGGTGAATTGGGTTTCCTTTTGGAAACAATATTTAACATATATCATTCATAAACAACAATTTACAAAGTATTTAATTGGAGAATTTTTTGCACACCTGCTTAGCAGCCTTTACCAGAGAAGCACTCATGAGCTTAGGTTGCTCTGCAACAGTTGCAGCATCTTCGGTAGGATTAGCAGGAGGTTCTGGGTAATTTGGAGAGAGACGTACAGGTGGGGCATCCCTTTGTAGTGTCCCGAAGGCATTGAAAGCAAGAGCTGCTATTGTGTTGGCTTGTTCTTGTAGTTGGGAGATTATGTCCATTGTGCAAACTTGCCTCCCCAAGAAAACTGAGATAGACAGAGATTGAAAGCAAGATTATACAAGGAATACAAATGATGACAACCTACAAACTCACTACCAATTTAGATGAAAGCAAGTGAGAAGAGGAAGATTTCTTGAACCAAGCTAGATTGTTAGTGTAAAACTGTAATCTACAAAAAATGAGAGAGCATAGCATAGGACACCCAAAAGAAGGAATTAAAATTGAAATGGTTGATGAAGCAAGAGCAATATCCACTCAACCATTTTGCTCCTTTTTATTGTCAAAAGCAATTTCACATTCCCATATCAAAATGATTCATAAAAAAAAAAAAAAAATTGATATGGGAATGTGAAATCATCTACTAATCAATTGTAAATATACTATCTCATGAAATCATCTACTAATCAATAGTAAATTGCTCACTTTCGAAAACGAATGTTATTTGCATATCCAAAAAAACCCATAAAAAGAAAGATTTCAAGGCATATCATACATCATATGCTAACCTAAAAACTTTTGTATATCTTTGAGGCAATTTCTCAAACATCTTCAGAGGGAGATTAGAAAAAAAAAGAAAAAATACACGTGGGAAAAGAAACAAAGAAACAAACAAACAAACAAACAAACAAACAAACAAAAAATCGCAAATATACATTGACTAGACAAACTTACTCAAATGAAGTTGAGTTTCAATTCTCAGCTGTAAACAAATCCAATTTTAACTGTAAGCAAATTCAAACATAAAGAAATTCAAAAGTTAAGTTTTCATTTTCATTTTTCAATTGTATAAGCAAATGGGGTATTCTTCAATCCAGGTCAATCAATTAAATTACAGGTTTTAAGGTTTCATAGAAGAAAAAAAATTTAAATTGATAAAAATCACAAAATTTAAAATCCCAAAATCGTCTAGGGCACTATAAACTTAAATCTGCATGACTGGAAACGTACCCAACTGTAGTTTTCGCGATGTCAATTTGCTTGATTTTGAGAGTATTGAGGAGAGGTGGATGGTTCAGTGGTGGTGACTGGAAGAAGTGGGATTGACGATGTGAGTTCAGTATTTGTGAGGGTTTATGATGGAAGAGAGAGAATAGATGTATAACGGTCGCTGATTGTGGGGAGTTACGAGGGGCATTTCCCTAAATAAGACAAAATAATAAGCGAATTTTCAAACTAAGCCTAGTTCTGAAAGAATTTTTAAAATAAGTTAACTCGCGGTTTACAATCGCGAGTTTAACACTTTTCCACCGCTGCCGCCTGAAACCTGTCAAAATTGAAACTCGCTGTTACGAAAAGCGAGTTTAATTAAGAACTCGCTATTAGAAAACGCGAGTTTGATTAATTTTTTTTTATTTTGAACTCGCTTTTCACAAGTACGATTTTATCTGAACTCGCTTTTTGAAAGCACGAGTTTAGCAGAAAGGATTTTTGTTCTGAACTCGCTGTTTGTAAGCACGAGTTTATCAAAAAAAATTTCTAATGAACTCGGTCTTTGTAACCACGAGTTCATCAAAACCCACGTTTTATGAAAAAAAAAATTTATTCTAACCTCACTCTTTCGAACCACGGTTTTTTGCCAAATTTTTTTATGAACTGTGCTTTTAGCGTAATTTTTTTTTTAATTTCAATTTTACTGAACTTTAAAGAAAAAATTTTCGTTCTTTTGTTTATGTTGTCGTTATTTTGGTGATAATATATTTTAGAATAATTTTTTTGGTTAAAATTCTTTTACTAAAACCGTTCTCATATTAATTTTTTTTCTTTCCTTTTGTCTTTATTTTGGGTTAGAATAATGTGTAATTCAGCATTTTTTTATTTTGTTTGACTAAAGTAAATTTATTTTGTTTTTTCTTGTGTTTGTTTTGGGTTAGAAGGTAATACTGTAATTCATAAATTTTTTGAGTTTTAGTAAAGCCGTTTTGATGTCAATTTTTTTGAATTATTATTTCTTTGTTTTGCGTTAGAAGGTGTTATTCAGTAATTTGTTTGGGCTTTAATAAATCTGTTTTCATTTAAATATATATATTTTTTCTTTTGTCTTTATTTTGGGTTAGAAGGTGATAATGTAATTCATAAATTTCTTTTCACTTTACTAACGCCATTTTCATGTAAAGTTTTTTATTTTTTTTATTTTTTTCTCTTATCTTTGTTTTGGGTTAGAATGTGTTATTCAGAATTTTGTTTTGGCTTTACTAAAGCCGTTTTCATGTAAATAATATATATTTTTTTCTGTTGTCTTTGTTTTGGGTTAGAAGCTGATAATGTAATTCGTAAATTTCTTCTCGCTTTACCAAAGTCGTTTTCATGTAAACTTTGTTATTTTTTATTTTTTTCTCTTGTCTTTGTTTTGGGTTAGAATGTGTTATTCAGAAATTGATTTTGGCTTTACTAAAGCCGTTTTCATTTAAATAATATTTTTTTTTTGTTGTCTTTGTTTTGGGTTAGAAGCTGATAATGTAATTCATAAATTTATTCTCGCTTTACTAAAGCCGTTTTCATGTAAACTTTGATATTTTTTATTTTTTTCTCTTCTCTTTGTTTTGGGTTAGAATGTGTTATTCAGAAATTGGTTTTGGCTTTACTAAAGCCGTTTTCATTAAAATAATATATATTTTTTTTGTTGTCTTTGTTTTGGGTTAGAAGCTGATAATGTAATTCATAAAACCTTGAGGAAAAAACACATAAGTCTCCCACAAAAATACATAAGTAGTACAAACATAAGTCTCGAACAACAATACATTGTGGACACCATGAACTGAACACACAATACATAGACAAACATAACAGTTAGACAGACAAATATTAGCCAGACAATCTGACCAACTCATTACGGAAACACTTACTCTAACACAGACATTACATATTAATGCATGACCTAATATTGCCGAAGTGTAGACATTAACACCTAATTCGCGCTTAAATCGGTAGGTGGCTCAGAGTCTGAACAATCCGAAAGCTAAGCATCAGAGACAAGTTGAGGATCCTCCATGATACCCTTGATAGCCGCATCATTTGGTTCTGTTTTGTTCTTCTGGGCATCCTTCTTAACTATGTATAGCTGCATATCGCGGGCTAACCTACGGTTCATTTGAGAAATCTCACGTTGTAGTCTTTCACATAGTCGATCAACATTATCAGGATCTTCCTTTTGGATCTCAACAGAACGTGCTTTTGGCACCTTCAGTCGATTTTCCAGACATAATCTTTCCATTTGATGGTATAGGAAAGTACAACGTCAATTGATTACGGAGGAGGAAAGTGAGAGGGGGCATTTCCCTAAATAAGCCAAAATAATAA